GAAATATGGACAGCACAAGATACAGAGTATCAGGAGTATGTAACATAGTCCCCCCTGCTTTTTAGTGGGTGGCAAAAATGACTGTGGCCAGTATAAAAAAAAAGCGATTGTTGAAAACTGTGATTGGAAGAATTGCCCCTCCTCCCCTATGAGTGGGAGGAATAGTCCCCCCCCTCCGAAGACACTGGTGGTCAATAGATTAACTTCACTTTCCCTCCTCCCAGACATTGGTGGTCGGTGATGGCCTATTCACACCAGGGCATTGCAGTAATGCAGGACAAATATCTTCTCTTAAATATCTTCTCTAGTAAATATCTTCTCTATTTCATCCTCAACCATGAAAAAAAAACCATCTCCAGCAAAAAACTACCGGTATCTAAAAAGCAAAATTCCAAACAGCACAAACTCTCATTTTTTCGATTTCCAAGCACAAATTTCTTCCTTTGTACAAGCCTCCCCCCTGCAGATTCTTTTTAAGGGCATTTATTGGTGAAGTTACGAATGAAACCAAAATGCAGCTCAAACAATGCCATGATGTCATGACCTGTGTAATAAATGCACAATGTACAATTGTGTGGTCCCTAGCTTGAGTAACAATTGAATCCCAAATGCAAACCTCTCCTGCAGGATAACTAGGGCACATTAAAGCTGGCCATATAGATGGATCAAAAATCAGACAGTTCAGAGGTGACCAGCTAAGTTTTGATCCATGTGTGGGCATCCCTGTTCATCAGAAGTCAATCAGCTTCAGTTGCTGATCAGTGTATTCTGACTGAGAGTCCTGCTGTCAAATTACAATGTCTCAGCGGGGGAGATTCCTTCATCCATTTCTCTTTTGTGGATGGAGGAATCCATTGTTCTATTTTTCATGTTGTTGGCTGGCCAGCTTAACACATGTTCAGTATGTGGTCAAACCACACATCTGCTCAAGTATCTATCAATCCTGCTGTGCCTATCCCATGCAGACTGCTCAAATCTTAGATACTGAGTGGCATCCAGAATGCATTTGGGGGGGGGGGGGGGGGGGGATCCTAGACCTCTCCTTGGCTGTGACATGTGACAGAGTCTAGGGTTAGTCTATGAGTCTCCTCCAATCTGATCCATTCTTTATCTAAGGTCTACATATCAGCACTGCAGGTGTGGGCATCATGCTAGGGATGCCCATGTGCCTAGGTGTGAACTGGTTGAATTAGTTGAAATTTCCTGAGAATTGGTCAGCATAGGGGTATAGGAATGGAAGCCTATTCATGGCCTATGTGCTGTGGTACAAGAGTAAATACTTCATTTCTCCATCACATCCAACAACGCCACCATCAAACCCGCCCCACAGGCCAGAGTACTTGGTGTCATTCTGGACTCCAACCTATCCTTCCAGCCCCAAGTCCAATCTTTAACAAGCTCGTGCAGACTCCACCTCCGCAACATCGCCAAAATACGCACGTTCCTAACCCCAGAAACCACTACACAGCTCATCCACTCCCTCATCATATCACGACTCGACTACTGCAACTCCCTCCTCACTGGCCTGCCTCGCCATAGGCTATCCCCACTTCAGTCGATCCTGAATACGGCTGCCAGACTCATTCACCTTTCCAACCGCTCCATTTCCGCCACCCCCCTCTGCCAATCCCTCCACTGGCTTCCGATTGCGCAACGGATCAAATTCAAAATCCTAACACTGACGTACAAAGCTGTCCACCATACTGCCCCGAACTACATCACTGACCTAATATCCAAGTACCACCCAGCACGCACACTCCGCTCCTCACAAGACCTCCTTCTTTCTAGTTCCCTGGTCTCCTCCTCCCATGCCCGCCTCCAGGACTTCTCCAGGGTGTCACCCATCCTCTGGAACTCCCTGCCCCAACCCATCAGATTATCACCTACTCTCCTCTCCTTTAGGCGCACCCTGAAAACCCACCTCTTCAGGGAAGCCTACCCCACCCCCGGCTTACTTGCCGACCTCCTCCACTCTTCCTACCACCCCATCCCCCACAGATTTCTCCTCCTGTGCCACCATCCCCTCCCTCCTAGATTGTAAGCTCGAAAGAGCAGAGCCCTCGATCCCCTCATGTTTTGCATTGTATTGGTATTGTTCTGTCACATGTTCTGTCCCCCTTTGTAATGTACAGCACTGAGCGAACTATTGGCGCTTTATAAATATTGTATAATAATAATAATAATAATAATTTGACAGAATAAAACTCAATTTACTGGCAGCAGCAAAGACACTGGACTAGGCCTAGTGAGGAATAAGTCATATGCTTTGAATAACTATTGCTAGTGTGCTTCCATCAGCTTTCAACCAAACTGTCAAGCCATCAAATGGTTGGTGTCATAACTGATCACATGGCCAGCAACATGGCAACAGTGGATAAAATAGAGGCTAACAGGGCAACTTCCTTGGCTGTAAAGAAGCAAAAATAAAAGAATTTGGTAAGATGTCCCACCATTAATACTGTTTTTGCCAACCTCCCATACATAGAAACCAGGACAAATAATAGAAATATCCCCCTGGGACGTTGTACAGCAAAAACACAGTGAGTATACAAAGGTATAAAATAGTAAATATTTATTACAAAATGTTGTTTCAATAAAAAGAATCAGATGATTCAATAAAGTAGGAGTACAATACAGTGGTGCATATCTTACATACAGAAGCATATACAAAGTGCAAGGGACCTGACAGTCTGTGATACATCAACTGACACGTGGGCTAACAAACCGAGAGAACTTGAACAATTGTATTATCCATACAAATCCAACGCGTTTCGGAACTCATGATTCCTTTTTCAGGGAATAGTTATTTCAGGTCTATAACATAACAAAATATCAAATAAATAAAAACAACATGATACATAATATCAGTGTGGGAAAGGGCTGGTTACTCATATACTTACAAGTTGCACCACATAGAATAATGGTTGACAAGTATTTATACAGGATTAGGTGAGGATACTTTCCAAGTGACACACCAGGGAGAGGAGAGGCAAGGACGCCCCAATGAACCATCCATCAGCAAGGACCACACTGATGCAACCAATGAGAGGATCTATAAAATGTAATAGAGGCCACAAATAGTAAAAAGAATCCACTATTTGTAATTCACCACAGAAGAGTAGTGTAATATATGGCCAAAAGGCATAAGTATGCAGTATAATAGTTTAAAGCCTGGTATATCTCAACTCAAGCAAAAATAGCAGAGGACATACACGTGAGCCTATATATAAACAGATCCACCCAGTTGGAAAGAAAACATCAAAAAATATTATGGAGTGCTTACCAATGGTATCACTGTACTATCACATGGAGCCACCTCATAATCATCCAAGAGAAGTAAAGCCGCAAAGCAGCTGATATAAATATGGTGGTTGGACTGGTGTTCGTGAGCCAATGGCTGATTGCCTGTGTTTGGTGCCAAAAATCTCTCAACCAATTTTCTTGGCTGTAAAGAAGAGGAGGGTTTAGTTCTACTTTAAATGTGGTGGCCGCATTTATTCTTTTCTCCTTTATTCTCACCTGGTGATCCAGTCAGTAAGCCTGTTATTCTTCACCTTCCTTTAACAGACCAAGCTGTCTAGCAAAAGTGAAAGTTAGAGGATTGAGACAACAGTTAGATTTTCTTCATATAGTGCTACCCCTGCAGGAGCCGCTGGATAGGATGGGCCCTCTGTTCTTTGCAGCAACCTTTTCAAGAACCTCAGCCCCTCTGAAACACCAGGTTGAGTGTACAAACGTGCAATATTACAGGAAATCACTGAAAGTAACAGTTAGTACCCAAAAGCAGTGCTTTATCAAAGAAAAAAGGCACCAAACCAGGTAGTAAAAGGCAAACGTAATATATTGTCAACCAACTTGGTTGGTAACTTGGCAAGCGTAAAATGGATTAACAATGGTAATAACACAATTTAGCATACAAAGTAATTAACAGTTGGGACTAGGTATAAGATGTCATTTGGGATGCAGCTCAGCCAAAACAGTAGCATGACCACCGCAAGTGCAGCAGTGAGCAGCAGTAAAGTTTAATCTACCAAGTGCTGGAACTATTCTCCCACAGTCAGGGGTGGACTGACAACTCATGGGGCCCCCGGGCAATAGGGAATCATGGGGCCCCTGTGTCCTTGCCCAAACTCAAAAAATCCTATGAAAAAGGTACCAGGGGCATCTCATGGGGCCCCCTACTGACCCTGGGCCCTCGGGCAGTGCCCGAGTTTCCAAACGGTCAGTCCGCCCCTGCCCACAGTTCATTTATGGCAGTGATGCTAGTTATAGACCCACTTGGTATTCACTGACCCAAAGAAAAGGAGAATGGTAGAGAAAGGGAGACAGGGGAACAAAGGGGCTTGCAGAAGACTTATTACGGGAAGGGAAGTTCTCTGAGATGTTCTTCTGCCAAATATCGTTGGGGCCCTTTAAGAGCATTGGTGCACTTACAGACATACCCAGTTAACCTGCATGCAGTATAGGTACAGTAAAGGTGCAGTATAGTCTCAGCACAAGGTGGATGTGGTTCAGATGCGGTAAAAGTTAAGTATAATGCATTACAGGGTTGGTATAGGTGCAGTCTGGGTTCTGAATAATTGCTATATAGAGAACAGTATGGGTGCAAAAAACTGTTTCTTAATTAGTGTTAGCTGGAGTTTGGCTTTATTTTGTTACTCAAGCCTAGAATTTCCTGAAATTTTGAAGCCATGGGAAAAGAACATTTTTTTTTAAAAAAAAGGAAATTTTCAGAAAATTTTAAAAAATGTAGTGCGGAGTAGTTTTACAAACTGCAAGTAATTTTGTTACACTAGGAGCATGAAATGCAATGTATATAAAAAGGTATTATACTCAACATACAAGAACATCTTCACAAAACAAACTAAACTTGCTATTTAAAATGTGTGATAATCCAGAAGAAACAGAAAGTTTCCAGAAATGAGAACTCTGGAGGGAAAAGCTACTTGCACTCTCATTATGGTCCTCATCATTTAATTCCATAAAGTATATGTTATTGTCTTTATGGCACATCTGTCATTTGTCATCCTTGTAGCATTTGGAAAATAATATTTCTTCTCACAATTTTTGCAAATTTCAGCTTTGCTCTCAGCAGAAATTGCACTGTGGAAATGTTTCCAAACCAGGGGTGGACTGACCATTTGGAAACTCGGGCACTGCCCGAGGGCCCGGGGTCAGTAGGGGGCCCCATGAGGTGCCCCTGGTACCTTTTTCATAGGCTTTTTTGAGTTTGGGCAAGGACACAGGGGCCCCATGACCCTATTGCCCGGGGGCCCCATGAGTTGTCAGTCCGCCCCTGTTCCAAACTCTAGATGTTGGAAAAAAAAATTTACTGAGCATATTATATGTAAACATTATGCTATGATGGTGGAGAACACTAACAGGAAACATTTAAAGGTTATAAAGCTAAACTAATGCCCTCTTACCTGTCAATTAAAGCCTGAGAGAAGGACAGATTTATTGTATCCCAACAATCACCCAAATGTAGGAGGTATAAGATGGAGCCCACAAGCAAACTAAATTGGAGCCTTTCCCCTGCAGTGCCTGCTAGTGGCAGAAACACATATTTCTTGTTTGAGATCTGCATTAAGAAGTATAGAGTATTCCAGGATTTAAGACTTTACATAAAGTCTCAGAAATCTTTCACTGAAGGACAAATTTAGCCAAGCCTATTTTGGCTTTGCTTCTAATATGGATCACAGGAGTGCAGGTTTGTTCTGCATTCCTGTGACCTGTTTTTCAGCAGATAGTGTTCTAAAGCCCGCTGTTAGCTGACATCACTCAGCCTGCCTTGATCCCAACTTTAAAGTTGAGATCCACCCAGATGCCTGGACCAGCAGCTGGCTCAGCATCTCAGCGAGCTCCTGAGAGCTTGAGTCAGTCACTCCTGCCCTCTCCACAGCCCAGCGCTTTAGTGATTGCTGGAGGAGGAGAGCAGAGAGCTCTCTGCAGGCTGATGACCAAAAGCTGAGCAATCAGTGGTGTTTGAACACCTAGTCTTAGAGGCAGCGGAGGACAGCTGCAGCTGGGATTGGTGCTGCATCCATCTGGGTGAGTATGATTGTTTCTTTTTTTTAAAAGCCATACTTTTCACTAGTTTTGCATTTTGCTAGGGTCAGTGTCACTACTGGTAGCATGAGGCGATACTTGGACCCTACAGAGGTTGCACAGGCAGTCCAACTCCTCCAAGATGGCACATCAATATGTGCCATTGCCAGAAGGTTTGCTGTGCCTCCCTTCACAGTCTGAAGAGCATAGAGGAGATGCCAGGAGACAGGCAGTTACTCTAGGAGAGCTAGACAGGGCCGTAGAAGGTCCTTAACCCATCAGCAGGTCCGGTATCTGCTCCTTTGTGCAAGGAGGAACAGGATGAGCACTGCCAGAGCCCTACAAAATGAAATACAGCAGGCCACTGGTGAGAATGTCTCTGAGCAAACAATCAGAAACAGACTTCATGAGGGTGGCCTGAGGGCCCGACGTCCTCTTCTGGGCCCTGTGCTCACTGCCCGGCACCATAAAGCTCGATTGGCATTTGCCACTGAATGCCAAAATTGGCAGGTCTGCCACTTGCACCCTGTGCTGTTTGCACATGTGAGCAGGTTCACCCTGAGCACATGTGACAGACGTGAAAGGGTCTGGAAAAGCCGTGGAGAACATTATGCCTGTAAAATCGTTCAGCATGACCGTTTTGGTGGTGGGTCAGTGATGGTCTGGGGAGGCTTATCCATGGAGGGATGCACAGACCTCTACAAGCTAGACAATGGAACCCTGAATGCCATTAGATATCCGGATGAAATCCTTGGACCCATTGTCAGACCCTACGCTTGTGCAGTTGGTCCTGGGTTCCTCCTGGTGCACAACAATGCCCAGTCTCATGTGGCAAGAGTATGCAGGCAGTTCCTGGAGGATGAAGGAATTGATACCACTGAATGGCCCCCACGCTCGCCTGACCTAAATCCAATAGAAAACCTCTGGGATATTATGTTTCAGTCCATCCAACGCCACCAGGTTGCACCTCAGACTTTCCAGGAGCTCAATGGTGCCCTGGTCTAGATCTGTTAGGAAATACCCCAGTACACTATTCATCGTCCCATTAGGAGCATGCCCTGAGTGACGATGTCAGGCATGCATACAAGCACATGGGGGCCATACAAACTACTGAGTACCATTTTGAGTTGCTGCAATGCAATTTCAACAAAATGGACTAGCCTGCTGCATCATTTTTTCAGTTTGATTTTTGGGGTGTCTTCGAATTCAGTCCTCTGTAGGTTGATAATTTTCATTTCCATCAAATGGTGGGGCATCTGTACGTTCCTAACATATCACCCAGTCCATATCAGTGGAGATATCCAGCATGATATTTTTCCCCATTGAGATCTGATATGTTTTCAATGTGTTCCTTTAATTTTTTTGAGCAGTGTATATATTCTATAGTTTGTAGACTTTATAATTTTCACACAGACTAAATACAATATGCTGATTTGGGGTATTGTTACCAAAGATATGTAGTAGAATACATTTTGATCTAAATTTGTTTAGAAAGATTATTTATTTGCAGAAAGTTGTATTGAAAACTAAGAACAACTTTTTTTTCAAAATGTATGGTGTTTTTATCTTATCTAAAAAAAAATGGTGGTATGTTAAATACCACCAAAATAAAGCTCTATTTATATAAAAATGTAAAGTGTGACAGCGTTGAAAACTGAAAAAAGGCCTCAGCAGTAAGGAGGTAAAACAGTCAGGTCTTGAAGTTAAAGATCGGTAAGCTGTAATATATTAGATTTTTGTTTTTGGGAATATTACTGCTTAAATGGTAGAACAAAGTTCCTAAATTGAGTGGAGCTCATGAAAGCGATCCAGATGCTCCATGTGGAGATATAGCAATCAAATCTACTGCGTAGTAGGGCCATTAGTTTCTCCACAAGCACATAATTTTAAATGCATGATTCATGCACTTAACAAAAGTAAATAAATAGTGCTAGCTAAATATAACAGTTCTAAAATTAATTGAATAAAATTTGAAGCAAGTTGATCTAATACAGTGGTCTGCCTAGCGGCCAGATGTGGCTCTTTGCTTGGCCCTTGGGACATTATCCCCCCCACTGCCAGCAACAGTGGGGCATAGTGCTTGCCAAGGACACAAACGATAGGGCACTAGTCTTCTCACTGACACCAATGATGGGACACTATTCCTCCCACTGACACCAATGATGGCACACTATCCTCCTATTGATACCGACGATGGGGCACTATTCCTACCATTGATAGTAATGATGAGGCAGTATTCCTCCCACTGATACCAACGATAGGGCACTATTCCTGCCACTGACATCAATGATGGCACACTATCCACCCATTGATCCTGATGATGGGACACTATTCCTCCTATTGATAGTAATGTTGGGGCACTATTCCTCCCATTGATACCAATGATGGGGCACTATTCCTCCCACTGATACCAACGATGGGGCACTATTCCTCCCACTGATACCAATGACGGGGCACTATTCCTCCTAATGATACCAATGATGGGGCACTATTCCTCCCACTGAAACCAATGAAGGAGCACTATTCCTCCCACTGACATTAATGATGGGGCACTATTTCTCCCACTAACCCCAATGATGGGGCACTATTCCTCCCACTGACACCAACAGTGAGACACTCTTTCTCCCATTGTTACCAATGATGGAGTGCTGTTACTCCCACTGACACCATTGATGAGGCACCATTCCTCCCACTGATAGCAACAATGGGGCACTATTACTCCCACTGACACCAATGATGGGTTACTTTTCTCCCACTGATACCAGCGATGGGGCATTAGTACTTCACCTAATACCAATGATGGGGCATTTTCTACTCCACTGGCCACAGTCTGGGCCCCCTAAAGTTTGAAGGACAGTAAACTAGCTCTTTGTTTAGAAAGTTTGAAGACCCCTGGTTTAATGGAACTGAATATCCACAAACTCCATTGTTACATATTTCAATGTAATTGTGCTTTTCCTAAAAATGTTAGCTTTGCATTTTCCTTAGCATTTTCATCTTTTCCCTCTTTTAATAACAGCCACATTCTGTCCAACTGAAAAATGAAACTTTGAGGCACAGAGCCGTTTCCACACAGGTATCTTTCATAAGAGATTGTTTGTATTTCTCCTGTCAGGGTGATGGAGAGAGCGCCTTTGTGTTTTTTTAGTTACTGTGTACATAACGTCTGTATATGTTATAAATGTGAGAAACACGCTGCGTATGAAAACAGGGGATGGAAATAGCTGGAGCCGAGGCTTTCATGAGGATTATTCACACAAAGCCCTTTGTTTACCATCTATTGTAGACACAGCATTAAGTACTAAATGCTTACTTTACTGAAAAAGCTGGTAAATGCATATGACAATGAATCATTAGTTCATCATAAATCATGTTTTCTCTCGTAAAAGCTACTGGGGTTTTGATGTTGTAAAAATACAAGATAGTGCCCTTAAAAAGCTAAGTGTAAAGGGATCCTTTAGGGTCCATTTACATTATTGAGGTGCGTTAACACATATTTAGTCACTTAAATGTGCGTTGCATTAAAGCAGCTTATAAAATATGATTAGCTTGCTATTGCATAAAAACTTGCTGAAAAACAGACGTGCAATGGATTTTGTAATGAAATGCACTATGGTGTGTTACGTGTTGCATGAAACGAAGGATGAGGGTTCAACCTTATGTGATATGTTGGGGTTTCGCTCAAGATTAGTGCTCACAAGTGAATTTATCCCAGCCAGGAAATCCTAGCCTAGTGCTTGTTGGCCCATTTTTATTTAAAATGAAAGTAAAAGTTCAAAATAAACGTTCTCTTTGCAGGGATTTCCATCATCATATCCAAGACAAAGAAATGACTTTATGCCTCCTGGCTCTCTCTTAGGCCTTGAGCTTAAGCCTTTTGGCTGGTTCCCCAGACCAACTCATAGCACTACTGTTCTGCCTACAACCTCTGCACCTTTTTCTCAGCTTCTGTAGCTCACATAGCTCTTTCTGTATTCTCAGCTCTCTCAGGATTGGCCCACACCCTTGTAAGTAGGCTTGCGATTGGTCATATTGTTCCACACTCCTGGCCATAGTCCGGCTCGCAACATTCCTAGACGTAGACCTAATAGTTGGAAATAAAGGAATGTCCACACACAAAATGCATTTTCTGCCCTTTTACAAGGT